GAACTCCGTCAATCACAATTCCCACCGCCATCTAATTGAATATTGTTTGTTTATTTGGAATAATCTAGTTTGTTTGTAACATTGTGTGATACTTTAAATTGTATGTTTTGTAACAATTGTTTATTTTAATCAAAGTATGATATTTAGTTGCATTTTAGTTTTTATACATATTTTTACAGATTTACAGGATTTAAATATTTACTGAAAAAAATTTAAAAAAAATTAAAAATAAAATATATTACCGGCGGATTTCCGGCGGATTTGGCCGCCGGAAAATTTTTAAAAATTCTTTTTGAAAATTTTTATTTAAATTTAAAAAAAAGAAAAAAATATTACCGGCGGATTTCCGGCGGAATTGGCCGCCGGTAAATTTATATATTTTTTTTTGAAAATTTTTATTTAAAAAAAAAAGAAAAAAATATTTCCGGCGGATTTGGCCGCCGGAAAATTTTTTAAATTTTTTTTTGAAATCTTATTTAATTAAGTTTTTCCGGCGAGACAATATTCCGGCGGATTTCCGGCGGAAAAATCCGCCGGAAATCTTTTTTAAATTTTTTTAATTAAGGTAAACCGAGTTACTTAATTTTTTCGGCGAAAGATTTCCGGCGGCCGTATTCCGCCGGAAACGTGAAAAATCCGCCGGAAAACTCGACGGAGAAAAAATCAGCGGCGCCCTCTTTTACGGCGGACAAATCCGCCGGAAATCCGCCGGAAATTGGGTTTTCCGGCGGATTTGTCCGCCGGAAAAGAGTGTTATTTTGGTAGTGATATATATACATTCTCATTTATAAAAAAAAAAATGATAGTTAAAGTGAGAAGCGTAAAAAATGATGTGCACCTTGATCACCTTTAATCTCAAACTCACCTACAAATCGTGCTTGATACGTGGATTGATCAGGTACATCTCATCCTAATATGCATCAAAGTGTACAAATTCTTTCTTACGTTCTCACTTTACCTCTACTCAACAGAATCCCCCCCCCCCCATATATATATATATATATATATAGTGGGATGTTAAAAATTTAAAAGGTTAAATATCATGATAAGGTAACAAGGGAGGTTAAACAAAGATTCATATGTGAATCATTAAAAAAAATTCATTTGAAAATGCATATGTGAACTTATATGAATAATCAATATCGTCATTTCAGATCATATACATCTTCAAATAGATTCTTTTGAGATTTTTTCTCAATAATTTTTGTATGAACTTTTCATTCTTACCTTTTCATGGTATTTAGCTTTTTTATTTCTACTGACCCTACACACACATATAGAGAGAAAATCAAATGAGAACAAAGTCAAACTAAGAGAACAAAAAATGGTCAAATCACATGTGAATCACATATGATTTTACATGCGATTACAAAACATGGTCAATGCAAGGGCACTTATTAATCATTTTTAGTAATGAGATTTAGTTATTATTAATTTATATAAAGTTTTTTAAAATAAAAATAATATATCATGAATGAATATTATAATAATATAATTAATATTAAAATCTATAAGATAGATAATTTATAGGGAGTTAGAATGTAATTTTAGGGATTTTAATTTTTTGGTTTTTATTTTAAAAAAAATTATTGAGAATTCATGAGATGCTCTAAAATATAAAAGGAAAGCTTGAGACAAATCGAGTGCCATAACAAATGATTGTTGTCAAGCGAATATTCATATACACGAAAGGTACATCTAATCTGGGCCTTTGGTATCTTAAAGACTCAGGTTTCAATCTAATAAAGTATTTATATAGTGATTTTCCAAGTTGTATGTTGGATTGAAAAAACACCACTGTAGGCTGTCAACTTATAGGAAGAAAGCCGGTGAGCTGAACAAACAAGAAGCAAAACTCAGTACGACATATGTCTATTTGGCCCACCTTTCGACCCCAAAATCTATCATTTGGCCCACCTTTCGACCCCAAAATCTATCATTTGGCCCACCTTTCGACCCCAAAATCTATCATTTGGCCCCTCGAAATCGGCTTCAAAGATTTTTCCATGATCTAAACACCAGTGGTACATATTTTTTTATGTCCGTTATAATAAGAACATTTGTTAAATCAACGTGTTCTGATTCTCATGCCCTATTTAATCATGAAGTTGTTACGTTTATTCACAAGTTTTTGAAAGTTGTAACTTTGAACTTTCTAAAATTAGATCTGTGTTATAAAGGCCAATTATTGTAATTTAGGGGGACTAAAAAATGGATCTTGTTTTATCCTTAATTAGAGATTTACGAGAGATTAGCCTATTTTCTCATTTTTTTTATGTGTTATATGTACACATGTGTATGTGTTATATATATATATATATATATATATATGTGTGTGTGTGTGTGTGTGTGTGTGTGTTGGTTGCTAACCGCGATAATTAGATCTATGTTTATATTGTTGAATATACATGTATCGGATGATGTATACATGTATATATATATATATATATATATTTAAATGTACGTGTATATGTGAATGTATAGATAATGTGTGTTATATGTACACATGTGTATGCGTCATATATATACATGTCTATGTGTTATATGTATATATACTCTGTCGACCCATGTTATATACATATGTATACATGTGTATATATGTGTGCGTTGGAAGGTAACCACGATTGAATTTATGTAGATATTGTTGAAGATACATATGTTGGATGATGTATATATATTGTATATATGTTTAAATGTATATGTATATGTGAATGTATAGATAATACATGTGTATTGTTTAGGCTTTAATGAGTTTTAGTTAGCTGTAATGGATCTAGGCTTTATTCGGTTTTAATGGGTTTTAGTAGACTTTAATAGATGAATTGGGCATTAATGAGTTTTATTCGGCTTTAAAATAATAATAAAACACTTTAATTTAATAAATAAAACCTATATTTACATTGGTAAATATAAATAAAACAATATTAATTTGAATATATGAAAATAAATAACAATAATACATTCTACGATCAGATATTTTTTACAAGCTTTCCAAACTTTTAATAAATTTCACTCAACGACTTCGCCATTGATATTATTTGTCCCCCTCAGTTTTCGTTCGTCTGAGAGTTGTTTGGCAAACCTGCATTTAAGAACAAATACTGATAAGTGGTAAGTTATTAAAATCTGATACTTATCAAGTGTGATTTGATAACAGAGTTGTACCTTTTCAATATTTCACGGTTCTTACCACCATTTGGGACGGG